TGGACTCTTCCACCTAGGCAGCAGTCTTCCAATACTTCAGGGAGAAGTGGGGATCAACCTATTCTCTGACCACTTGAGGGCAGGACAGGAAGTAATAAAAGGAAGTATTAAAGAGAGATCCAAACTAGAATTAAGGAGAGATTCCTGACAGTGAGAACAATTAGCCAGTGGAACGACTTATCTCCAGAGGTTGTGGGTGCTCCTTCACTGGAGGTTTTCAAGAAGAGATTGGACAGCCATTTGTCCAGAATGGTAGAGAGGCTCTTGCTCAAGCAGGGGGTTGGACTGGAAGACCTCCATGGTCCCTTCCAACTGCTATTCTATGATTCTAGGACATCAGGAGTCAAATGATATGCTTTAGTACTTCATAAAACCCGCTGCCCATCAGAATACCTTGTGGGCTACAAGGTTCACAATTTAGGATTTGCTATTATTTTGGATACCAAGCAGAGAAAGTGTATTGAAGAGCCTTGATACACTTATACTCGTTGATGCGTCCTTTAAAAAGCTGCTTTTTTTTCCTGGGTGCATATAGCAACAGGGAATAACCACAAGTACATGGTTGAGCCACCTGTTTTTCTTTTCTCCTAAGCATTAGAAGGAAAGGATATGTCATAATGTTAACCCTAAGTTACAAATATTCTCCTTTTTTAGGATATGTCATCATTTTGGAATCCAATCATTCTTGAATTGGAGTTTTGTACCAACACCAGCTTCTGAATAATATAATATTATTTTTTCAGAGCTAAACCCATCACAACAAACAAGTTGGGAAACATCATCCATCAGACCAAGAAAAATGGCTTCTTGGCAACAAAGTAAGAGCTCTTGCTGTAGCAGTGGAGGAGTTTGCGTGTGTAGCTGCACAAGTCAAGGAAGGTCATTTTGCTGCTGTAAAGGAAGAGTACAAAGTTGTGTTCGCTGTGTGTCTCCCATCCAGCAAACTCAGGGCTCCATCTGCTGTGGTGGAGGCCGTAGAGGAAGCTCTGGCCAAACCATCGTCATTGTCCCAGGCAGCAGTGGTGGAGATGGATGGTGTTGCAGAGGAAGAAGAGGCTCCAGTGGTGCCGGATCTGGCCAAATCATTATATCACCTGGAGGTGGACAGTCTTCTGAATGCTGCATTGGAGGAGGGACCTGGGGGAGCTCTGGAAGTGGGATGGGTCAGCAGAAATGTGATGGAGGAATCATATGTCCCAGAGAGTGGAGGTGTGGAAGTGGAAGTGCAGGAGGATCATGTGGTGTTAAGGTAACTTCTGGGGGATCCAGTGGAGGTAGAAGGGGTAGTGGTAGCAGATCAGGGAGCCCCATAGGAGGCGGCAGTGGTGGAAGTCCAACCATTATTATTCCATGTGGTTGCAAGTGTAGTGGTAGCGGTCAAAGATCAGTGAGCCCCATAAGAAGAAGTTCCAGTGGTGGCAGAAGGGGTAGTGGTAGTCGTTCAAGATCAGGGAGCCCCGTAGGACGTAGCACTGGTGGAGGTCAAACCATTATTGTTCCATGTGGTTGCAAGGGTATCGGTGGTGGTCAAAGATCAGGGAGACCCATAAGAAGGGGTTCCAGTGGTGGCAGAAAGGGTAGTGGTAGTCGTTCAAGATCAGGGAGCCCCGTAGGACGTAGCACTGGTGGAGGTCAAACCATTATTGTTCCATGTGGTTGCAAGGGTATCGGTGGTGGTCAAAGATCAGGGAGACCCATAAGAAGGGGTTCCAGTGGTGGCAGAAAGGGTAGTGGTAGTCGTTCAAGATCAGGGAGTCCCATAGGAGGTAGAAGTGTTGGAAGCCAAACCATTATTGTCCCGTGTGGCAGAAAGGGTAGTGGCAGTGGTTCAAGACCAGGGAGCCCCATAAAAGGAGGTTCCGGTGGAGGTCAAAGCATTATTGTCCCATCTCCTAGAAGAGGTAGTGGCAGTGGTTCAAGACCAGGGAGCCCCATAAAAGGAGGTTCCGGTGGAGGTCAAACCATTATTGTCCCATGCCCTAGAAGAGGTAGTGGCAGTGGTTCAAGACCAGGGAGCCCCATAAAAGGAGGTTCCGGTGGAGGTCAAAGCATTATTGTCCCATCCTAGAAGAGGTAGTGGCAGTGGTTCAAGACCAGGGAGCCCCATAAAAGGAGGTTCCGGTGGAGGTCAAACCATTATTGTCCCATGCCCTAGAAGAGGTAGTGGCAGTGGTTCAAGACCAGGGAGCCCCATAAAAGGAGGTTCCGGTGGAGGTCAAAGCATTATTGTCCCATGCCCTAGAAGAGGTAGTGGCAGTGGTTCAAGACCAGGGAGCCCCATAAAAGGAGGTTCCGGTGGAGGTCAAAGCATTATTGTCCCATGCCCTAGAAGAGGTAGTGGCAGTGGTTCAAGACCAGGGAGCCCCATAAAAGGAGGTTCCGGTGGAGGTCAAACCATTATTGTCCCATGCCCTAGAAGAGGTAGTGGCAGTGGTTCAAGACCAGGGAGCCCCATAAAAGGAGGTTCCGGTGGAGGTCAAACCATTATTGTCCCATGCCCTAGAAGAGGTAGTGGCAGTGGTTCAAGACCAGGGAGCCCCATAAAAGGAGGTTCCGGTGGAGGTCAAAGCATTATTTTCCCATGCCCTAGTGGCAGTGGTTCAAGACCAGGAAGCCCTATAAGAGGAGGTACCGATGGTGGTAGCATTGGTGGTGGGAAAACCATTATTGTCCCTTGTGGTAGTGGTAGTGGTGGTGGCAGCAGCATCAGTGGCCAGAGCTCTGTGGGTGGCATTACAGGAGTAGTGAGAGCAGGTTCCATGCAAACCAAGCAATCCATTATTTTGCCCCCATGTATAGGTCAAACAAAACAAGTTACCCAATGTCCCCCACTCCAGAAGTGATAGCTCCAGTCTCTTGGTATGTTCCATTCCCCACCACACAGTGTTACAAAAAAAAAAATCTTGCCTGTATGTCACGATTCTTATTTTGTGGCCCTACTGCAAGCTCTCTCTTCTTTGTATGTTGTATGTTCAGTAGCAATCTCAATGCGCAATGGTGCAAAATACTGTGATAATTAATGCCTCCCTGATGAGGAGGATTTGATCATATTCTCTAGCCATGCATATTTCTGTCTCTGCTAATATCTGGTAGACAATAAAGCTTATTTGAAGATCATGTTATTTGGACTTTGACATTGTCAAACAGGAATGAGCAAGACTTTAGCAGCCAAGAGGAGTGTTAGATTTTCCTTAGTCAAATAGGATCAGACCTAGAAGAAAGAAGGCTGACCAAGAGCAGTTACAGGTGCAAAACAGCATGAAAAGGCAGAAAAACAATCGAACACAAATTTTAGCAGTTGTCATGATGGATTGAAGGTCACATCTCAGGACAGTGGGTTCCAAGAAGGCTCCACACACATTTGCACTACTCAGGTGACCCTGAGGACATACATAAATCTCCAAGTGGCCTCAACGACTCTCTAAAAGAATGCAAATGACCAGATGTCTGCAAGGAATATAAATCCATTCTCCACCATTCAGTCAGAACCTAAAGAAGCTTCTTGGATGAGAAGCGAAACATCTTCAAAGAAAAACAAGAAAGTTCTGTTGCCCATACAATCCATTAGGGCTTCTCCAAGATTTCAAGCAAAGAGCCCTGTGCAAAAAAAAAAAAAAAAAAATGCTAGGCTCTGCATTGGGGCCATTCTCTTTGCTCTTTCTTGATTGTTCCATTTATGGTACACTACTTCATTGTCTTTTAATCTCTGGAGCCGCCTGTCAAGTGACACAAGATCCTGTCTCAGGCATATGGGGCATCTTAGGCCATGAGACAAGTCATCCCATAATCAAAGTCTGACTGATAAGCATGCCAAAGTGTTATTCTTAAATTCTAAAAATATTTTATAACACTTTGGCGAAGAAGAAAGGTCAGGAAAGCCATGATTAAAATAAAAAAAGCTTTACATAGCCACATCCACATAAACACATATTTATGAGAAAGACCAAATCAGTGAATTTCTGTTCCATGCTTTTTTTCCACCTCCTTCCACATCCTGTCTGGAGCACTTGTGGGCAATCTCATGTGCTCTCCTTGACCAGAGAGAAATCTTGTAGTTTCATCTAAAGTCTATATGCAAAGCTGAACGTGGAGGGAAATTTGATCCAGCTCGCAACTTTTGGATGAAAACGTCTATAAAAATCTATTTTTTAAAAAAGCATATAAAATGTATTAATTTAGAGAAAATGTGTTTCTAAAAAATACTCCACCAACTAGCGTATATTAGAAAATGTTCATAGAAATGTGTAAATGGTCCAGAAAGTATCACAGCAAGCATATTAAATATATGGATAAAATTTTATTTATTTGGAAAAATGCAGACATCCACTTGTTGAACTCGTGAACTTGTACAAAAGCATTCTTTATACATTGATATAAAAATGGGACAATGAAGAATGAAAAACTGGTAAAAGAAAAAGTTGGGTGGAATTAAACAAGTTAAATTTCACATTCTTCATCTCAACTTCTAAAAAACAATTGTTCCAAACATCTCCTGTTGGATTGCATGCAATTAGAATGTCTTCCATTTTGAATAGCAGTTTTGCATATTTTCCTTTCCAACTGTTGCAACAGCTTAGTATGAAAATAAAAAGCAATTGAGTAGATAAAAAATCACTTGAAAAAATCCATTTGGCCCAAAAAAAAAACCCACAAAAAAAACCAGAACGATTAATCCATAATTACTTAAAATCCCTCTCCCCAAAAAAGTTGAATTCATCAGAAGCCCCCTTGATGGGAGAGGCCCCTCAACAATCCAGCACTTCCGGAATTAATCTGTTAGATGGAACAGGTCATTAAATTGTTTGTGCTTCCTTAAACTAAGTAGTGATGGAAAAGAAAGATATTGATCTCATATGACTTGCTAAGCTTTCATGAGGCCAGCTGTTAGACATGCTAACTAAGTCACTCAACGTGATTGGGGGTGTCTCATTTCCCGTAGGAGAGGCTAAGCAGATGATATAAAAAGGTCCTCAGTCTCTTCGGTCATAAAATACTCCTTGCTCATCTTGCTCATTTGCCCAAGAAGGTAAGACCAAGCTCAAAAATACCCAATTCTTTTCTTCCTTGGTGCTGCATGGATAACTGTAGGAACATCTATGACAGATGCTAGCTCTTGAAATGGTTGGTTTGGAAAACTGAATGATGTCTCAATGTAAGACTCTCTGAACAGTTAAGAAATTCTTCTAGAATGGAGAAGGAAACTGGGTTTCTTCAAACCCTGTTGGACTCCAACTTCCAATAAACCAACCAATGTTGGGAGTTGGGAGTTCCAACTCTTCTGGAGGATGGTTCATCATCCTAGTATGAGACAAAACTCCAAGAATGATTTTGTTAACATTTCTTCCATCTCTTCGCTAATCTTGATGACTCATAGCTAAGGCTGGGTTTGGGATGTAGCCAGACTATTGGGTGTACCTCCTGCTTTCAGGAGCATGAGATTAGCATTGTCTGATTGTATATAAGCAGAGGGAATTCTTTTATTTCTCTGACATCTAAATGGTTATAGTTAGGCAAATTATTTTGCCACTCCCTTAAATGTATCCTCAGAGATTCTTTAAATTAGCAAGTGATGAAATTGTCTTCCAAGTGGTTCCCACCAAAACCTCATGTCTGCATGAAGATACAGACAGTTCAACATTGGCAGTAGTAGCCATGTGATGTGCCTTTAGAAATACGATCTGGGTATTTTGATGCTGCTGTGCTGTAACTAGCAATGTAACTTAGAGGACGATCGATGTGAATCAAACCTTCAGAACTGAATGGAAGCTTATTTCAACTTATTTCTGGGAAAGATTTACACAACACAATTTCCTTCCCTGAAAAAGTGAATTAAGATAGAAAAGGTGAACAATTTAAACAAACTTAAAGGAGAACAATTTATAAATCTGACCTCCTTAAGAGGCCCGTTTTTTTTTATTTGAAGGGAATTTGTTTTCCTATAGCCTGGCATTTATTTATAACAACAGAGCCATCAAGAAACAGGAGCTGTATGATAACCTAAGTTGTTTTCATTTAGGTGAACATTATCAACCAACACCACTCACTTCCAGAAACGATGAGCCAACAAATCCAATCTAGTGGTTGCTGTGGTACTGGTGGTGGATCCAGTGGCTCCTGCCATAGAAGAAGAGGCAGCGGAGGCTCTGTGTGTTGCTCTGGGTGTTGCTGCTGTAGAGGTGGATCAAGACATGTCATGGTGGTATCTGGAAGCCAAGGATCATCCTGTTGTGGTGGCATCCAACAAATCCCGAGCTCCGGCTGCTGTGGTGGAAGTTCTACTGGAGTCATCGTAGTACCAGGCGGCCAATCTTCTGGATGTTGCATTGGAGGAGGACTTGGGGGTGGGATTTGCCAGCAGAAGACTCCCCTCATTGGAGGTGGCAGTGGTGGAGGAATTTGCTGTGGTGGATCAGGGGGTCAGACCACTGTTATAACTGGAGGTGGTAGTGGATGCTGTGGAGGATCAGGAGGAGTGAAGGTCATTGGTGGTGGAAGTGGCAGTGGGTCCGGCTGGTGTGGAACTGTTGGTGGTGGATCAGGGGGCCAGACCACTGTTGTAACCGGAAGTGGTGGTGGATGTTGTGGAGGATCAGGATCAGGAGGAGTGAAGGTCATTGGTGGTGGAAGTGGCAGTGGGTCCGGCTGGTGTGGAACTGGTGGTGGTGGATCAGGGGGCCAGACCACTGTTGTAACCGGAAGTGGTGGTGGATGTTGTGGAGGATCAGGATCAGGAGGAGTGAAGGTCATTGGTGGTGGAAGTGGCAGTGGGTCCGGCTGGTGTGGAACTGGTGGTGGTGGATCAGGGGGCCAGACCACTGTTGTAACCGGAAGTGGTGGTGGATGTTGTGGAGGATCAGGATCAGGAGGAGTGAAGGTCATTGGTGGTGGAAGTGGCAGTGGGTCTGGCTGGTGTGGAACTGGTGGTGGTGGATCAGGGGGCCAGACCACTGTTGTAACTGGAAGTGGGAGTGGATGCTGTGGAGGATCAGGAGGAGTGAAGGTCATTGAAAGCGGAAGTGGCAGTGTATGTGGTGATGATGGGTCAGGAGGTGTGAAGGTTATAGGTGGAGGATCTTCTGGAACTGGAGGAAGCATAGGGGATGTTAAAGTCATTGGTGGAGGGTCTGGTGGAGCATGTGGAACAGGAGGAGGATCAGGTGCAAAAGCTGTTGTAGTTACGGGAGGAAGCAGTGGGACATCTGGTTGTTGCAGTGGTGGAGGAAGCTCAGGTGCGGTTGCAGTTGTAGGGACTGGTTGTAGTGGAGGTTCTGGTGGTAAAACCATTGTTGTATCAGGAGGAAGTGGTGGATCTGACTGCTGCAGTGGAGGGGGATCTGGAGGGGCATCCGTTGTCATTGCTGGTGGCTCTTCTCAGACAAAATGTCCCATTGTTGTTCCACCGTGCATCGGGCAAACAAAACAGGTTTGCTCACTGCCACCCAACATAAAATAAAATAATATTATGTTCTTGGTGGGAAGAAACCTTGGTGAGCGTACCTCTTCTTCCTATGATGTCTTGCTCAGCCAATGTACTTATGGTGTACTGTATTTCATGTTCTTCATCACTGTTTCACTTTTGCCTATGTATATCGGAGCATTTTAAAACTTGAGGGTTTGTGCAGCTCTGTGGTGGATGGGAATAAATGGCAACACCCACTGAATATCTTGCTTGCTTCTCCATTTTCACGCTTTGGAGAAAATAAAGCTTCTTACAGAATGAGCACATGGTTGTCTTCTTATCACATGCCTTCAGTGTTGACAATTATCTCCCGTGTCTACCTTTTTCCAACACAAGTTTGCAAACATTTTTTTCTGGTCCCTCTGATCCCACCTTCAAATGTGTATCATTCAGTAATGCACCTCTCGGCGCCATATGCCTAAATTTCCAAAATGATAAAACGTAGTAATAATGATGCTTGCCATTTTCATTTTCTCCAGCTTTATGTGAGTTTTGAAATCCCTTTGAGGAGCTTAAAAAAGGAATTGGCGGGAAAAATCTAAACATGTTTGTTCACAAATTTGCTCTCTAGAGAACAATCCTGGGTTTCAATTGTTTTGCAGAGATTCAGGACTTCACAGTCCCCAAAACATGTAATATGTTGATGATAATATTGATTTCCACTCTCAGAAGCATACAAGGGTGGGTGGGTGGGTGGGTGGGTGGGTGGGTGGATGGATGGATGGATGGATGGATGGATAGAATCTGAAGAAAAGCAAAAAGTTGGTGGAAAAAGTGGAAACTTTAGATATTTTTAAATATATATTTTTGGTGGACACCAAAAATTTGTGGTCATGCGGAACCTGGCAGTTCAGCTTTCTCCCAGGAAGCATTTTGTCCAGAGTCATCATACAATCCCTGGCAATCCTTCTCAATCCCTAGTCCTCTAAGGACATTAGTTGGAGAAAGACTGGTATGAAAGTATGCTAGGGTCTGGCAATTAGGCAGGCAAACTGAGAGCTGTGCACAAGACGAGCAGCATTAATTGCCAGTGTCTCCTAAAACTTTGTCCTAAAAGAAGGCAGCTAAAATCTTTCAAGATACGATTCCAGGGTTTCTTCTTGGAACACCAATTCTACCACAGAATATAATAAGATATGGTGTCTCCCTGTTTGGATTGGCAAGGAGAAATGCTGAATTAGACAAACTAGGGAGCCTTGTTTGGGATTCTGACCTCATTGGATGTGCCCCCAAGGCCATGAGTGACAACTGCAATCACATCCAAAGGCAGTAATTATATTTATGCCATCATTTAGGCTTTAACGATGGATGGCATTGCTGCCTATTACTCATGGATAAATTTCATCAATGATCTGGCAGCAAAAGTCTACAGGATTATTCATCTACTTTTCCCATGTGGGGCTTTTTTTAAGTGCAACAAAATAAGTTAATATTTCAACTAGCCAAGCTTCAGATAAACCAAACCTAGTTTGTGGCAAATCTGTTTGTTTGCCTGCAGACATTTCATTACCCAACTATCTAACATCATCAGTGCTAGTGAAGTGAGGTTTGGTCCCTACTTATGTACAGTAAATTTTCTTGCCAGTATTGGTGGGTTTATGGTTTTCTCCTTAGTAGTCCTTAGATTAGATTATTCTTTTCTGCTTGTTTGTCTGGTCTTAATCCCTGCTTATCTGGATGTTGGCTCCTGTAGAGGATGCATTCTCATCATTTTTAGGTTTCCTTCTTAGCCTTGTATTGTCTCTTTTGAATGGTGTGCAAATATGATTTATTTCTGTGTGTCCATAGATGGTTTCATGCTCCAAGTAAACCCATCCATTGTGTTTTTTTCTCTCCAGGGGACCATATAATAAATATTCTCACAATATGTTTAATCTATTTGTTAAATAAAGACATCTTCTGGGTTTGCACAATTGCTGAATCCCAAACTAACTGGATTTTGTTGTGAGGAAATTACCCACTTAAAGCACAACTAGAAGTCTCCATTTATCTGATGGTTTTTCTTGGTCTTCTGCTCCCTCTAGTGATGCACATCTAAACAGCATCCCTGGGAAAACAAGGTATGGTATCACCTTGCTGAGCAGCAAGCTGGAAGGATCAGGAGTGGGAGGAACTGGACAAGTGTTCACCAGACATCTGTGCTATTTGGTCCTGTCTAGGAAGAACTATTCATATGCATTCTGACAACCCACCCAGATGCCACTCATCCACCAATCTTGGAGGTTTGCTGAGGCAACCAGCAATGATGAGATCCAAATAGCTCCCTATTGTTTGATTTTGACTTTGGATTTTGTGTGAAACCAGCCAACTTGCAAAGACTAGTCTGTTGTGAGCACATCTGTAATAAATTTGGCCAGGGCCTGAGGACCAGAATAAGTATTCAGAAAACAATGCAGAAGAGGCAGACATTCCATTTGAATCTTTTGAATGTTTTCCCAGCCTTCTCGATTCTTTGAATCAAGAGAAATTCAGAAATGGGTAAGAAGTATCAAAGAAGACCTAATTTATTTTTCCTTCCAATAAATCTGGCAAGCCAGATTTTGTGAGAACCTAGCCTTCTTGGAGACTGCAACCAATTAGCCATAGTTAAGCAAGCCACATCTTAGCAAAGCCTGGGTACCCAGTTGATGGGCTTCCATAGATACATGATCTTTCATCTCTTCATTTGTTGAATGATCTAAAAGGTGGCAACTGCCACTAAGGATTTGAATAGGGAGAAGCCACAACTTTGGTGTCTGAATTAAATTATACTTTTATTCCCCCTGATAAGAGGTTGACAATGGGAGGAGGGACCCCACCTATTGTTGATGCTGATAAGAGTTGGAGTCCTAACCTGCTGGTAGAGGCCAAGAGGCAATTGGTTTTAGACCAGCCAGCTACAAAGATAAACCTGGCATCAATCAAGATCACGTGTCTCCACTATGCTATTGAAGCGACATTCTTGGCATCTGACATGATTGGAACAGATCCAGATTGTTAGCACAATGATCTGTAATACATACGATTGTGCAAGATCCTTAGTTTGTGCTTGCATGCCCACGCTGGTATGTGATTTACCATTGCTTTAAGATGTTGACATCTCAGCCTACAATGTCCTGATTTGGCTAACAAATTCCTCTATTCTGTGAGGAGTTTAAAGGAACTCCTTTAAAGAGAATCTTCTGAATCACGTGTAGCCCAATTTCTTACCCCAATCCTTCTTCTGGCCCAGCACATTTTTAGACCCCAAATTTGCCATGATATTCAACACCGGCACAAGCCAGCCGTGATTTAGGAGAAGCAGTGGCCTGCTTGTAATTAGAAAAATTGGCCCAAATTTGTTGAAAAGGACATGATCCTCTTCTTGAGGATGCTTCTCAACATCATCATTTAAGGTTAGGAAGAAAAGTGGACTCAATCTGGGGTCTCAGAGCCATCAAATGCAATGTGCTTTGGATCTTGAAAAAGGAGAATAAATCAGTTTTTGCTTCAGTGTGCCATCCCTCAACATCCTTTCGCTCACTAGGCTCAGCTCTATTAGAGTGAGGTTGAGTACTTTGTGGTGTTAACTGCAACGTATTGCGAGATGCCATCACAAGGTACGTGGAATCATTTGTGATGAGTCCTGGGCTGTTTACCCCTGTGTTTGTTTGGATATTGCCTGTCACAGGAACATAGGGGAAGTGTGCTGTTAAGACCATGGTCAGGTTGGACTGCCATGTGAATCCCATACAGGGGATCTAAAGTGATCTAATTAAACCTATTGAGCAAACCTTACTACCCTTTCTAAATGAACCCAGGAGCTCCTGATGATTCAGAGTCCACACCAAAATCCATCCTTCAAAATGGAGTCCTCACTCTCATTACCCAAAAGTTGACATTGGCCGTTCCTCAACAACCAAGAAGAGTTTGTAGGACATGTTTTTCCGAAGTGCTCACATGCACGGCTAGCAAATGAATCCATGGTGGATTTCCATAAACATTGTAACATTGCGGGTTTTACTAGAAAGAGCAAAACAGCCAGTATCACAAGAGTGTTTCAAATCCTTCCTTGTTTCTCTTCTTTCGTTAATGTATCTGTTTTGTATCCTTGCATTTCATTTCCATCCTTTTGGTCTCTTCTCCCTTCACACAAACCATCCCCAGAATGTTGCTTTTCCTTGACTACCTTCCCCAAAAAAAGATTTGTCCAAGATGCTTTCTTAATTTCTTTCATGCCATGTATATTGTAAACCTCTGCTTACTCCAGCTAATTTACAAACTATCGTAGCTACTTGGATTAAATAGACATTACTTTGGGAAAAGAGGGTATGTGGAAATTGCCACATACTTCCTGTGTTTTGAGGAATCTTTAAGAAATCCAGTCACACCATCTCATGAAAATCACCTGTCGTGTTGGGCGCCCATTTTTCATTCTCCTCAATGTTGGCCAACATTTCTGAGCCTTGATATATGGAATCCTTGACATAAGGCAATTATGTTGCACAGGCTGATGTGATGGATGAAGACTCCAGTTGCAACACACAGCCCATTTCTTCCGCTTATTGGGTCATGAATTGGGCACTTCCCTTGAAGGAAGGCAAAGAAACCATATAAAAATGCCTCATCGCAAGCATCTAAGCACACATTTGCGGTATTCCACCATTGCAAGCTTTCCCACTGCAGTTTGGGTAAGTCTACCAAAGCTTTGTCTTCTTATGCCTGCGATTGACGAGAAAGAAGATCAGTGTTTGTTTTTGTTAAGATTCCTTCTTGCAAAATGAGCTGGTTTAGGGATAGAACGTAGTGCTTTCGAAAACTCAGAATATTGGATTTATTAACCATCTTAAGAACTGGCAAATTGGCCAGAGAAGTAGATGTGCACTACTGACATGAGAAATTATTCTAGTTTGCACTTGATATAAAGGTATAGAATTTAAACAGGTTAGTAGGCACCAACATTTGCAAGGAATTATTTATGGTCAGGGTTACTCTGCTGGTAATTCTGCATTATGGTTTGAGGGCTCATCTATTCTTTCCACCTTTTCCTTTAGATACCTGAAGAGACTGGGAAGAACAGGGTAGAGAATTAGATAGTATAAACTTTATGTCTTTATTTTATTAATGTCTTTATTTTATTAAAATGCTTGCCTCCTGCCCCAATCTCATGACTTTGAGCAATTTACAGTGTGTATCGAAGTGCAATAGAAAACAGCTAACAGCGGAAACCGTTGTTAGCACTGATAATGTTACCTAGTTTGGATAATGAAATGTCTGCAAGAAAACAGCCAAGCTCAGAGACCACCAAGGACCCCTCATTTCAAACCTGAGCTGTAAATATTCTCCTTTATTGGTACACCATCTTTTTCCTGTCTTTGAGATATATTCACGAGCGTGTAATAACAAACATGCAAGAACTGTAGACAGCATGAGTGTGGAAACTTGTAAAAAGTTCTCACTTTTTTCCAAGACAACAGTTTTTCCCTTGTAAAAAAAAAAAAATTGCATTGCCAAGGGCGACCGGATTGGAAGACTTGAAAATTAAAAAAGATCAGACACTGAACTCAGTTTAAAATGCAGGTGGGATCCCAGAAACAATATTTATCAAAGTCTCTGTGTTGCTAAAGTTTGGGAATGCTGGGCTGGGCCTCCATAGCAGATGTATTTATCCTTTCTTGCTTTGCCACAGAATTGTTGACAAACAGACGGTCAGGATGTGCTCCCGCCATGACAGAGGATGCTCTCATGACAATGATTGCAACAGAGGGAGGAGCTCCTGCCATGAGGATAGAGGTTATTGCTGTGACAGAAACAATCCAACTTTCACAGTTACGACCATACCGGTGCTGCAGGATCAGAACCCTGTCACCCAGAGCCAGAAGCAGTGCCCCGTGGTTTATTCCACTCCCCAGCTCCAACAACCTCAACAGCTCAAGCAGCCTGTTCCATATCCTCCCCAACAGCTGAAGCAGCCACCACAACAGCTGAAGAAGTAGGAGAGCAAAACATGGAGGAAACACTGCAAGGCAATGCATCTGGAAGCCAGCAATTCGTTCCTGTTCAATTTCCTGCTTATGCAAAAAAAAAAAAAAAAAAAAAATTATTTGATTGGCATTGAAATTCTCCCGCTTCTTATCCTGCTTGATATAGGATTTGTACACACTAACCTCTTTGATGCTTTGATCAGCAGCAAGCATTAAATAGCATGAATCTGTATTTGATTTGGAGTCCTTTTTTTTATGTGGATGACTTGGACGAGGAAGGAGAGTTTCGGTGGCTGGTGTGGAACTGTTGGTGGTGGATCAGTAAGGGCAGACCACTGTGTGCTTTAAATCCTGGAGTTGATTCTAATAATGCAATACATTCTCAGGCTTGAAACAAACGATAAAATCCACTGGTTTTCTTTTTCATCCACGTTCACCTTTCTTTCAGACTTTAACAGCTTTCTCGTTGTGTATTCTTATTTGAAACAAAAATAACAGGGTCAGCATGAGATGGTAAGAAATACCAGAAGCTGCAAATCAGCAGCAAACCACAGACTAATCATCTCAGCTCTAATTTTTATCCATTCCTTCTAATAAGTCTCTATGTCCTGATTTGGTTAAGTTGCTGTTTGATCACCACTCATAATTGCAGAAAGAAATTAATAGAGCGTAATCCAGATGGCTCAGATCCTTGCTAGATGGCCAGCAAGGCCAGTCAGTGATCAACAGAGAAGAAGAAACACAGCACAAACGTGTTCTAGGTCATCCTGGTGATCTTCCAAATATAGTATATTACCATTAACACTCTCAGGTCAGAATGGAATATAATTGGCATTATTTTGAGAGCCATAATCCCAATATCTTTGGACGACATAAATGTTAAGAATCTAACTAAAGCCTTCCAAAGATCTGAAGAATATCAGAAGAGATCTCCACCCATCTTAATGATAAGTCCATGGGCAGAAAACAGACAGGGAGAGATGTATTCTGGATAGGGTCTAGTTTCATAGGTCCAAGCCTATGATGGTATTCTAAATACAATGTATTGTTTCTTCAATTCTTCTAATAAATAGATTTGGCCACTTAGAAGGTTTTCATAGGTTGGTTGGCAGACAGAGAGAAGGATGATCTCAGATAGTTGGCAATTTCACACCAATTCTGATCCCTTTAAAATGTCCGACTTCTTTGGCACTTGGTTTCTCCCACAAAAATAAAAATAAGGAATTTTAGAGATGGCAATAGCATCTTCTTTCCAAAGAAAAATAAATAAGGAAGTCAAGATAGATAGCCATACCAACACCTACATTTACTGTTAGATAGAATAATATTGTAAAGCAGTCCCTGCCAGGGACACTGTATGTATCATCACTATATGATCTCTTGAGATTCTCTGGAAGTTGGGGATGCTGGGCTGCAGCTCCCGAGCCACCAACCATTGCTCATTCCTCTGAATCCATCCAATGACAGTTTCCTTTTCCTGGGAGCTCAGGCAATCAGGATTTGTACTTCCTGGCTGTTCTGCCTTGTAATTGGACAGCACAGCCAATAGCTCAGTTCCTCTCCCAACCGTCAGCCATTGCACTCTACACAAACACAGAGTCAAAACTGCCAGATATTCATTGCCTTCATGTTCCAGAAGGTGATGCCTTTATTAAGCCACTTTACCCAAACAATATGTATACAAGCAAGATCAGATTACAAAACAGGTTGGAAAGAAAGAGGAGGGAAGGTGAGATGTCGTGCAATCTTGACACCCCAAGTCTTAAATTGGAAAATTACAAGCAGGTTCACCTGTTCAAATTAAAACCTGTCTAATTCTGATTATGGGACAGTTTTGGGCTCCTGCCAGATCTATTCAGTTGAAATCAGAAATTAATGGGCAACGGAGAGAAATGGTTTGGATAAGTGGGGGGGTGGGGGGAGGAAATTCCTGTCCAAAGCCTGCCTTCAGAAACTTTTCCTGCAATTAGTGGAAGAAAACAGAGACAGGTGCAAAGTTTCAGGTATGTTGCTTGGCAAGGTAGATGCCCTAAAGAGAATCAAGATGGGAAATGATCATGTTCCTTCCAGGTGTTAAACCTGAAAGAGGGCAGATGTGCAATTACGTTCCAGATTTTCTCTTTATTCCAATTGGCTTATTCATTAAGAAATAAGGCAGCATTCAGGGAGGGAAGATTCAGGAAATAACAGCAAGGGGTGCAATGCATACAGAAGTACGTTTGGATTAACATCTTTGAGACAAGGTTATAGTAATAATGGAAGGAAATAACACTAGAAATGATGGAGGTGGGGATTATGGTAGAAGTAGAGAACAGGAAAGGAAGATTATAAGAGCAAGAAAGAGGCCAAAGTTAGACAGCGATGCACAAAGGAGGTAGAGGCTAAACCCAGCGCAGCAGACATGACTGTTCTGGGCCAGCAATTCTTCCCAGATCCAGAGCAGAGCAGCATATATTATGTCTTCATGGCACAGCAATTCAAAAGTCCTGGGAGATGTGGTCAACTTCACTTGAACTGTTTACAGCACTGGGAACAGCAGGCGGATTGACCTGAATAGCAGCAAGGAGAATAGCAGCAGGGTGAGCAGCACGGAGTGCAGCAGCACGGAGCACAGCATGGAGCACAGCAACTAGGACCACAGCCTCCAGTCGGCATACAGATGACGTGTGCGTCACCACCGCCAGAGTGACCACAACAGTCGCAGCCGCAGCCGCCGCCACCACCACCGCCGCCAGATTCCGTGTTGCCCATTTCTGCAAAACAAGAAGGAATGATCTAGCAGAACAGGAGAGGAATTGGGATGAGCAGCTGCTCTGAAATCTTGAGACAATTCTTCTTTATCATCCATGGTGTGTGATGACTTTTAAGTCAATCTACTGTCTAAGTACCCCACATCAACATTTCCCTTCTCCAATTTGCATACTCCGCCCCTTATTGTTAGCACACTAAAAGCAAATGCTTTATTTTTACAACAAAAAGGAAATCAGTCATGTCACGAGACCAAGCTTTGGCCATAAAAATCAGAGAACCATAGTCTCCTAGAATTGGAACTGGCCACTGAGGCATACCAGATCCCAAATTAAGAATAACCTAAAACTTAAACAGAGAGTTGTCCAGCTTCTGCTTGAATTCATCCATCAATGGACAGCCACTACTTCTCCAGGTGATTAGGCCATAATCCTATTTTCAGAAGAAACCTGTGAGATATTTCTCATAAGCAGGAATGTCCCAGGAGTTTTTTCTTTCAAAATCAGGATCTTAAGATATCCTCCCATCAAACAGTAGGTTTTGTCAACTTGTCCAATCAATGATGATAAGATGTAAGCTTGATATAGCTGCCGATTCTAACATACACCTATTTGAGCCAGTGATTCTGAATTCCAGACGGCTTCATCTGTCTCCAACTAACTGTTGTCTCCAACTGTTTAGAAAACACCAAACTATATGTTCCTCTGTTCAGCAAATGGTACAAACTCACAAAGGTTCTCTATTCTATTGTAGCAAGCTTCTTATCTGAAGCTAAAGATTTTATCATCTTCAGGATGACCAATCAAAGTCAACTTACCTGCTGGAAGTGTTGCTTGCTAACAAGGTAGACCAAGGAAGGTTATGATGTTCTCTTGGGAACAGGGGGCCACCTTTTATACTCCATCCTCAACCTTCCCCCAGGAAGTGAGACAATGCCTTGGAATGGCAGGTTCTTCACTCATTCAAAAAACACGTTTCCTTCCATCTGGTTCTTTGACTCAATTCTATTTCTCATTAAAGGACATTTTTCTAGAAGTATATGATTAACACCATCTTCACTTAGCAATGCTGTAATTCCAAGTCCAGAGGCAAGAGGAAATTTGTTCTTAAATTATGAGCCCTAAACTCGAGACAAATTTCAATGCATCATGAGGACCCCATGGTTGAAGGTCTCATTATGGACCTCATGCCTCTTCATTGACTTGACCCATAATTGACTTGACTCTTCGTTGTCTTAACCCTTCATTAGCATAATCAAAATCAGGTGTAAGCAAAACAGATCGAGGAACTCTGCCCTGGGGACTATGAATGCATTGATAAAACACAATATCCAAGAAAAATGTAGGACAGGTTGTCTGGAATGCTGTTCACACTACAATTTTTTTTTCATTTTGATTAAAAATCTGAAAGAGTCCACGAGGAACTGAACTAATTTGATTTCTAGGTATGGTTCAAGGAAAGGTCAAGAGCTGTGCAATGCTTTGAAAGTTTGATTCATTTCTATAAAGTTCAGAGTAGGATTTCCATTTGAAACTGTTTCATGAAGCAACACAATCTTCTTACTTCTAAACAAGAAGCCCATGGGTGACTACACTTCAATTTGTCTCCTCCATCAGTTCCAATAGCCAGAAGAGACTCTTGGCCAGGAATTTTCTCCTGAGAAGTAAAATGTTTTCAAGGAAAAAAACCAAGAAAGTCCAGTTGCCTTTTGGAAAAGCACTTTTGGGACATCATAAGCTGATGCCAAACCAACATTGCACAATGCTATCATCTCCTTTGTACTATCTCAGTGTCACATGTTCCTGGATTTAATGATGTGGCTTTATCAAACAAAAAGTGTAGGGAGTACAATGGCTACGAGGGAAAAATCCACTCCAAAGTGCAAGCTGCTGGTGGGAAAACATTGTAGGGAGAACATGTTAGAAGAGTTGTAAGCCCAGAATCTTTTTAAATGTTAAATGTTGATTTTTTTTAAAACAAAAGAAGAAAAACAAAACATGAAGAACTGAAACAAAACAACACGGACCAATTTGTCCATCTCAAGTATGATTTGATGATTCAGCCACTGCATTTGATTCATCCGCTGCATTTCCTAGTGTGACCTTCTGATTACAGATGCCAAGCAAACGTAGAATTGGCATTCTTCTTTTAGTTTGGGGCTCTTCCTCAGGGGTTTAAGGGTAACACTATAATTAGAAGTTATTTCCGTGCATTAGTTCTCATGTAACTTCCCACTATCGACCTGGTGCTCAGAATACTTTTGGTTGTTGTTTTTAAACCATCCAGGCCCTTGTGACATGGTCACAATGGAAACATTACTCAATGTTCACCCTTTTTCCTTCTTGTCCTTTGCTTCTCCTCCATTGTTCTGACTTTTTTCCTGTTGTTTCCTCCTAATCCTTTAAGTCACTTTGATGTTAGGTGAGAATTATAGAGTTGAACGCTGCATAAGGCACAGACATACATTGAGTAAGGACAATGAGCCAGAA